GTCGAGGGGAGTCCTGACGCGACCTACAACAACTGGAGGCAGGCGCACAGCTGATTTCGTAACAGCCAGCCGACACTCCCGGAGTTCCAGCGTTCTCCGGAAACGCTCAATGACCTATATATTCCTGGGAATCCGGGGAACGACGCGGAACAGAACTGAACCGCCGCTACCGGTTTCAAGCTGCACACCTCTGGAGCCAGCCCCTTCAGCGATGCAACCGTTGCTCCGTTAATCCGGAACGATAAGGTTCATTCGGTCTGGCACGCCGATGTGGATAAAAAGTCTGCGATCGATCTTTCGTCTCGTCGATCCTACTTAAATGTCTACGACAGCAACGATCCGACAGCAGGATGCAATAATTCAGCCGAAGAATTAAATGGGTCGTTGCGCGATCGCGTTCTAAGGTCTCGCAAAGCTTCGGGATGCGACAGAATTAAACAGGTACGCCCGAAAGCAGATTACGCGTCTTTCCGTGTGCCTTGATCGACAAACACGACGTCACGATCCAACGAAGAACCTCAGGTGTGAATGTGGCGAACGGTATTTTTAGATCGTTGCACATTCACACTTGTACAGTTTCCGACGAGATAGGTGCTAACTAAACGATACCCTAAAAAGTTGCTTGGAAATTCCGCTGGAGTTTCGATATTCCTTTCCGGTACGAGAATCAAGAATGTCCTCTAGCCGATTACCGATTGCATAGGTTAGCCGGCAGAGAGGCGAATTTACATTCCCATTCGCAGATATAATTAATTGGCGTGGGCCAGACTGGGATCAACGAACTCCAGCGATGACTTTTCTTTCGCAGGAACCGTGGAAGAGAACAGCGGCCGCAGCGCATTCTCGTAACGCTATGATTCAGAACGGATCCTATATTCGTCGTACAATAGAAACGCCGGCATTTATTCGACGCAACGTGTAATTTTATTGTTTTATTGCTTTCTCCATCTGCCGACAGAGAAACGTTCCCTGTTTAACCAGCTATAAGACGTGTCGTACAATGGTCGAACTGAACTTGGTTGGTCGAGAACCCCTTAAAAAATAAAAGGAAATAGGCATCGGACACATTTGCGCGATAGTTGAATAATTCGAAATAGAATAATCGCTTTCTTCCTCGGACGGTTCTTTGTTTCGAGGTCGTTGACGTTTAACGGCGGTATCGCGTTACCGGATCGATTATCGATCGCGCGTATCGTCGCGTGACATCGATTGAAAAACGCGGCAAATATTTTGCGTAACCTTTCGGCTGCACCCGAAGGACAAAGGGAGAACGATTATCAACACGTGACGCGAACGCTCGAAACGTATAACAATCTCATTGTCCCGTTTCGCGTTTCAGCGTTCGCCGTGACGGTGCCGGTCCAACGTTTATTAATAGAAAAAATATTGCAATTTTGTATTTCGAGGAACGCCAACGATGGCGAGCCAGAAATCTATGTTCATGGTGTCGGGACAGGACGTTCGCCGTGGGTCTGGTGGGTACCTACAGGCCGGGGATAATCGGGATCGAATAAACAGTAAGAAAAAAAAGGTTCAGGTAGCAACGGTGTGTGTAGTCCTCGTGGAAACAACGGAACGGAGGAACGTGGCTGGACCGCGGACCGTCCTGGCCCGGGGAGAGGCGCGCGGCGCGAGGGGGGAGTATGTACAAAGGAGGGATGCGATTGGCTGAGCCGGAGAGGAGAGGTTCTCTCGGCTGTCGCGAGGCGAGTTGATTCCGCGCCACTTCGTTTCCGACTCGTGTCTACGTACGACGTGTCCGAGGACTAACGCTGAACGCCATCCTCCTTCGCCTTTCTTTTGTCTGCTAACGGTAAGCGACAGAATATAATTGCTCGTTCTATCACCGATCTGTTCACGCTACGATTACCCGACCGCTCGAAATTTACAAATTTACAAATTTACCAATTTTCCAAATTCGCCAAATTTACCAAATTCACATTTTTTACTTAACAATTACGTGCTCCGGTTACAGAGGTTCGTCGAACGATTTCGCCTACGCGTTCGCGAATGAAATGTTTCTTCTTCGGGAATTTCTAGAAGATTTTCTTTTAAGGGTACGCTCGTTGTATCGTTGCTCGATGGTCCTAATCGTCGTGTAAAGACCGGTTTCTGCGAAGGTAATACGGTAGACGCTAGACGCTGATCTCCGTGGAAAGTTCAATGGAGTATTATTCCTCGATCCGGGAAATCGATGGGGTTCGGTCGATCGGAATATTTTCGCAAAGTTTCTGCAGATTTTTCTGTCGCCGAGTCTTAGGTTAGGAGAGTTTGCGAACGCATGGTGGCTTTCCGGTTCGATCGAAATTCGTATAGATCGTAACCGAAAGTCGAAGAGTAGCTTGTCCAGTTCGATATCGTTTGTTCGGTGATTTTTTTCGAGGAAAATTGTGTCGAGCCTGATTACGGGACGACGGTGAACCGAATGAAACGAAAGAATACGAGCTCGACAGGCGGTGTCGAATCGTTACGGTTGCCGGTAGGCTGAGTCAACGCGAATCGTGTCCATTCTCGGGATTTCTCCGCTAAAACCCTATAAGCGAATGAATCGCTCGATTAGCACACACCGCGTACTCGTGCAATGATTCATAGCAGTGTCAATCGTCGATGATTCCGTTGGTAGTTGGCGTTGCTCGATGTGCCGGTTTTTAGGTTAGACCAGGTGCGCTGGCCCCTCGAGTTATCGGATCGATCTAATCTCCGCGATTCGAATTTTCACGTGCTATCGATAGCAGCGATCGATTTCGATAATTATCTTCGCTCCTTTTTGCTCGATGTATTTCTATCGATCGAGATTCGAAATATCGAAAGTTTCGCGTACACGCGAAACAGTCGAAAATGCTGCGATCGGAATCGGTATAATTTTTATTGTATCGCATTATTTAAAAGAGAGGAACAGTTACGATTAGTTTAGCTATGCAACGGTTCTCATTTACATGCGATCTCTTAAAACCGACAAGAACGTAAGTGCAAAATTTATGGCGGTCTGCGAAAAGACGATTGCGGAAATGGCGGTTAAGAGTCACGTGACCGCGCATTTTAATGGATCGTTAACCTACGTTTCCAACGAAGATCTCTCGTAATTCGCAATTGAGTGTATCAAATTCAGGCTCGTAGGAAATGCGAAATAGCTTCGTCTTTGGTCGGTTCCAAGGTTTCGTGAAACCAGAGATCCGTGTATCACCGAAATGCTCGTTTCGCATTATGGAACGACCGTTAATTTTCCACGAGCGAAGCATCCGGCACGTTGAAAGTAAAAAATTTGAATAATATTCGCAAGATGATCGGCCACCGTCCCGTCCGTACTACTTATCGATCACGTTTCAGGGGTTTCAGTATTACCACGTTACATCGTTGTAGTTCTTCTTTCCGCACGAAACGATCATTTTTACCCCACTATTGATCTCGGCGCCGCACGAAAGAGATTAGCATAACGGTTTTCAAACATCCCCCAACGGTAAATCTAACATCCACGTTACTTGCCCCAGAATCAGTTGCATTTTATTGTTTAAGAAAATGTAACGATAAACGAACAACTATTTTATTCTATTCTATTCTATTCTATTCTATTCTATTCTATTCTAGCCTAGCCTAGCCAAACTCGCCTATTCTGTTCGATGAAATACTTTTTGCCAGGGGTGGCAGTCGCTGGATATTATTAGACCGTGAATTTTATGCACTCGTAGCACGGTCGTCCGAGCCTCGGATACGATGAATTGTAAATTCATGTTTATTATCATAGAACGCAATCTCCACTTTTCTATAGTTACAGTATATTTGCGCGAATCTTTTTACACGGAGCCCATCAATCCGGTAAAAACCGAATGGGGCTTGCCACGAATCTTTCTGCGAATCCAATTTGCTCGAATTAATCCATAACGATCCAGCGGTTGCACGAGCGTTCCGCAGTCTAATTATTGCCCATTCGAACGGATTCTTCATTAGCATAACAGAGTGTCTCGGCCTGATTGGTGGCGGCTCGAATGTAATCGGTTCAATTTCCGTCGCGCGTCTCGCGTAAATGGAAAAAAGGGAAAAAAGGGAAAAAAGGGAAAAAAGGAAAAAAAAGGAAAGGAAGACCGACGCGGTGCGCGTCTCGTTTCCGGCGGATCTTGGGTTCGGTGTTGCGCAATTTTCGAAATAACGGTCGGTCGCGTTTCACCTTGATCGGCGCGCGTCGGGTCGGCCGAAGAAAATGAACGTGTAACCATGCAAATCCGCGAGAGAGGCGCGTTGCGTCGGATTTCCGTTCCGGGGATCCTGTCAAAAGTGAATTGACAGATTACGGTCAGAGCTACGTGGCACGGTGAGACGAGAGAGTGGGTGCAGCCTGATTACGTAAGGCCAGGGATGCCCAGTGGTTCTCACCTTCCGTCCTATCGGCAGGCGTGCATATTTTCTCTCCTTTTTTCCTTTCGATCGTTCAACAAGCTTTCCCTTCTATTCCAATTAATCGCCGTTCGGAATATTTCTCCCCCGAACGTTAAACTCTCGTGATTTTGTTGGTTTTGTTGATTTCGCGAGTGCAGGGGAGACTGCCGGCCTTAAAGTAAAAGAAATAACGGCGATAAAAGGCCAAAGATAATACCCAGACTTTCCCTAGACCGTATAGTCGTAAAATAGCTTGATCTTGTACATAAAAGAGATTTGATCTCTTTGCGAAATTTCGAAACGATTCGAGTTCTTGTGCGAGCCGAGCAGAATCGATAGGTCCGCCGGCGGATCCCTTAGCGGTGTGCCTCAGCAGCGTGGCATCGTTATCCTTAGCGGTTGCCATCGTATTTTTATCGGGCTCGTAAAACAGTCCCGTGATCCGGGTTTAACGACTGCCGATATATAACTTAAAAAACCGTTTCTCCGATCAGTGGATCGGACATTTTTGCGGCATAATCGTCGCTAATTAGAATACCCGGCCTCAGATGCTTTGAAAAGTCCCTCGGTTCCGGTGGCCGATTTATCGTCGATCGAAGAGCACTCGAGCGACGCACAGTGGTCTAGATACTCGAATTAAGGGGAGAACGTTCCAAAATGTTATTCTCGTCGATCGCGATACGCGTCCGTGCTCTACGAATTCCATGAACTCTATGCATTAGAAATTTCTATTTCCGGTTCTCTGGTTTCGCCCTGAAATTTGCTCGTTCTTTCCTCCGAATGATGCACGGAGCGCGGGGACGACTGCGGCGGGTCAGTTTGTTGGTAAGAAAGGGGAAGGAGCGCGCATCGATGCGTTTCTTCTAGGAGGAGGCTCGTTAAAGCCCGGGGAACCGGAGATTCGTTTGAGCGGCGCGTG